GTATGAGCCTGGTACCGCTAGGCCACTGGCCCGTTGGTAAGATCTTAGGAATTGACTTCACCACGAACCTCATTATGGTCAACTATTCAACCTTGGGATTTCAACACTTATGTATAATTCAGAATTAAACTTAATAACATTCGTTTAATTCAATTTAAAGAAAAATGATTCATGAATTTTAGTTAATAATAACCTATCTTCGGTTGGCATGAATTATCTACCTACCTACTTTTAACTAATGTTGTAGTATAATTCGTCTTCCCTATGCATAGACTATAAAAACATTCATTCATTAAAAAACATTTGAATATCATTGCATGATCTCTATTCTTATTGTCTTAGAAACCCTTAGCCGCCAATCTCACACAATAAAAATAGGTTGAATACAATTTTAAAAGAATCAAATCTAAGACAAGGTATTAATTTCTGAAAAACCAATTTATTTCATTAAAATCCCAATTGCTTAGAATATCTAAGTCAATTGCTCAAAATCATGCAATCAAAATATATAAACAATTAAAATCCCAAAGTATAGAATAATCAAACCATAGTAATCGGATTCGAGTTACATCAATACCCTAAGAGAGGATTTAGCTACTCATGACGATGGAAGATATTATATGTGTTGTTGTAAACTTCATCATCATGGACTGCACTTCTCTTCTGAGGATCTTCGCCTTCAGTGCTTCAGAAAAACTTCAAAAACCCTAAAAGCCGCCAAATATTTACAAGATAAAAGAACTAAAAAAATGAGAGCTTTTCTGAGGCCTTGTGCATCCTTTTATAGAAGCAACTGTCTTCTATCAACGGTTGAATGGGCTTTAGGTCTTTTGGGATCATCTGAGCCGTCTAAGACTTAAATAGAATTAATCTTGCAATTAAAAAGTCTGACTGAAGAGGAAAGGCTCGAGCAGAAAAACTTTTGCTCGAGCATTTTGGCTGGTGCTTGAGCCTTTTGGATTGTGCTCGAGTAGGAATTTTATATTTAGGCATTTTTCTTTACTTCATTTCTGAAGCATTTTTTTCATCAGCACTTATAATATTTTGGGACTTCTTGTTCAGGGTGCTCGATCACCTTGGCCCGGTAAAGAGAACTTGCTCATGGGTTTGACCCACTTATTTTTATTTTTCAGATTATTAGAGATTCAAGTCTCAAGGTTAAGGATCCGCAGCTGGATGACTTATCTATTCTTTTGATTTATTTCAAACTTAAATATCATTCCTTCATTTGACATTAGTATTTAATTATGAATTTTGGATAGTGACTTTTGGTTAAGGGGTCCTTGAGTTACGGGATTCCCGAGTTGTAACCATTGGAGAATTATTAATGGATTTATTATTTATTAGTTTTTTTCAGCGTATTATTTATTATTTATTTCATTTTGTAATATGTGCTTGTTTAAATACTTTAATTGTTTTGATATCTCCTATTTTTGTGCGCGGATTTAATCAACCCGTGTTCCAAAATTAGGGGGTATCACAAATTGCATACGACAACTCTCGCAATATATCTCAACCTATCGTGGATTCGGTTCAAATCTTAGCTAATTAAATGTCCATCCATAATTACCGACTTTGAACCATTTATGATTACTATTTATAACGTTGTATTGATTGCCATCACATATATATAAATATATCTTATAATTAAGTGGACACAATCAATTCCATAATGAATCGAAAAATAATACATTACATTTACCAATTGTATAATGCATAAATGATGATCTTTAGATAAGGAAAAATGACTTTTACAGTCCAAGCAAGAATTTGCTATGCTAGGGCACACAAATCCCAACATGGCCAACTTAAACTGGTTCAAGTGTTAAAGTTGTTTTGTCATGAAAATTCACTAGCCAACTTGAACCGGTTCAACCATCCTGAACCAGTTCAAGGTCTTCAGATCTGTTTTGGTAACTTACCTTCCTGGTCTGTTTTTTATTCCTTTTGTGGGTAGACTTCTTTCCAAAAACCTATGCACGAATTTGACTTGGTTTCCAAGTATCTTTAGGTCTTCCAAACTTCTATATAATTATATATAATCTCTCTTTTATTCAACATTGAGGTACGACTTTTGGAACATAAATTCATTATTTTGAGAGAGCCTATTTGAGAGATATTTTTCAGAAAATCAAATCTGATTTTTCTGTTTTTGTTTTGAGAACACACACATATATACAAGAGTGATTCAGTAGTATTGTTCTCTATCTTATCAGAATTGGAACGTAATTGAAGATTCAGAAATTCTGAACATCAAATTCATATTCAAATAAGAAGAATTTCCGATCACATTTTGAAGAGATCAAGGCACTTGCGAAGTGTTGTTGATTTACCAACAATCCTTCTACAAGGTTCAAGTCATAAGTCTGAAGTTGAGAGTTGTTGAACGGGAAGTTACAAAGTCAGAGACATTCAGCAGATTGAGTCTTAGTAGAGCGAAGGGGTGTGAGCTTGAGTCAAAGTTTAGTGTACTTTGCTTCATACATAGTGGATCTTTTTACGCTTGAGACAGCGTAAAAATCCTCGAGGTTTTTCAATTGGTTTCCTCACTAAAATCCTGGTGTCATCTCTCTAACTTTAACTTTTTAGTATTTATCTTTGTCATTGTGGATGTTTAATTCATCATATATCTTAGGTAAATTAATCAATCACAAAAATTGAGCAAGTTAACTAATAATCTCATTTAGGTCATTTACGGATTTAATCACAACTAAATCAATTAACAGTTGTGCGATAACTCACAAATATCCATGTTCTCTTTAGAAACTAAACATCTCTGCCAGAAAAAGAAAAACCCTAAAATAATGCAAATCAATTAAGTAAATCAAGAATTGTAGTCCAATGATACTTTCTTCCCTTTTTTTACCTAGTTAATCCAATGATACTTTGTCGACTTTTAAAGTAAAAGTTCGGTCCAAGCCTCCATAGAGTGTAATGTGGGCCTGTGAGACTTTAGATTAAGGAAAAAAAAAATCTAACACTATGTTTGGAAACTCAGCATGTCACAATTTCAAAAGGAATTTCACTTATTTGAACTATCGATTTTTAAAAGAAAGTGGGATTTGAAGTGATTTTGAAGGAAATATTGCATGACTAAGAAATCGGGAAATTTGGTAACTGATTATTAACTTATCAAAATTAGTGCTTTCTACAAATCGATTTCAAGTCTCTCATCCTTACAAATAAAAAAAAAACACAAATTATGTGATTCCTCCTACACTCTCTCTACTCAACAACATTATCACAATAAATCTAAAATTACAAAAAAAAAAAAAAAAAAAAAAAAAAAATCCTTTGAATAATCTTATTTTTATAAACACAATAAATCATAATAGGACTACTTTAAAAATAAAAATAAAGTGACTGAGTTGCTTGAGAAAGAGATTGCATTATTTTTTAAAAAATAGGGTCTCTCATAAATTTTGTACTAGGACTGCTTTGAAATAAAAAATAAAAAATAAAAAAATTTGAGTCATCCAATCAAATAGACAACTTAAGCTACAAAACTCAACATATAAATTAAAGGCAAAAGTACTTAAATTACCTTGAAATTTCACCAAGTGACCATAATACTTCATTTGTGATATAAAAGTGAGAAGGTTAATCGACAGTCCTTATAGTTTAAAACGTAAGTAACTTACCCCCTTGCATTTCACCTCCAGCCACTTTTATTCCATTTTGTGATTCACATTATTGATATTTTTTTTATTAAAATTCGAAAGTATCCTCCAATATGACTATCATACCCATCTTTCTATAAAAAGGCTTTTGTATTCCTTTGTTCCAATCAAACCCATTTTTTGCTCTCTCTTTTCCATTTGCATCTGTTCTCTATGCTCTCCTTTTCCATTTGCATCTGTTCTCTATGCTCTCCCTCCAAGGTCAGTTCATTTGGACATTTAAATATATATATCATTATTCTTGGATCATATATATTTTCATGTGCATTTCTTTCACTGCTCTCTCTTTTAGCTACTAGAAGAGTTTTGTGAAGTAAACGATATCAAATGGTTTGGTTTGTAATGTAATATGATATAACTGAGGAGATAATAAAATCATGAAAGATATGTAATCAAAAACTATTACCGGTGGAATATGTATAATCATGATGATCCAACCTAAAGCTAGCATCAGATGGACATGAACTCAAAGTACAAGTATTACTTTATTACTACTACTACTAATAATAATAATAAAATATTATAAATTTTAGATGCATGTGTGATGTGTTGTCACACTATTATAAATATGCCTAACAATTTTTACTCCAACTATTTATAATTGTTTAAATTTTAATAACTTTATTACATTATTAAACATATCCAAATTTCATAATTGATAATCAAAACACGAGCGTACACCTACCGACAAGCAAAACTTTAATAAGTATAAATTAATTAACTTAGCAAAACTAACTAAACACTTGCATATATATATATATATATATATATATATATATATATATATAACAGTGATCTACCTGAAAAGACGGTATAGTTCACATAATTCAGGTAGAGGTTCACATGAAGAGTTAAAACACGTAATTCATTTTAGGATCATGTAATGCGTTATTATAGATGGTATTTAAGATATGTGACTTTTATATATATTTTTTTTACTTTTAAAAAATAATAATTATAAAGAGTAGTTTGATAAATACACAATAACATAAAAAAGAAATAACTATAGAGACTAATTTTTTCACATTTATATACCACATGAACATTGTGCTCACTTGGTATTGGAGGTTTTTTTTGCACTTCTGCATAAATTGAATTTCATTTTAATTATAATTCAATTTCCCAATTCCAAATCTCAAATTCGAAAGACAAATTTCAAGTGATGGGTCCAACGTGGTTAGACTTGATTAGTTGTTAAAAGAACACTCCGGTAGAACCCAAAGGAGAGAAACCACCCACCCTTGTCGCTACTCTATCTTTCTCCTTTGCCCTTTTCGAGATATAGCCTGTTTTTTGCCGTTGATATAGTCCGAGCCCACTTTCGGAGTTCTCTCTATATAAGACTAGATCTCTCTCTTTCTCACTCCTCTTTTCTCTCTGTAAAAGACAACAGACTTGTTGAAGTAGTGAGTTGAACCAAGACGATGATCAGCATAGAGGAATCAAAAACTCTGTTGTCGCTGCTCAACGGCGGAGACCAACGCCCTTTCGATGAAATCATCACCGACTTCAACTCTAAATTCCCTCGCGCGCTCTATTTCAGGCTCTGCTCTTCTCTCTCCATTCTCTTAGAGGCAAAAACTCTCACCCCTTTCTCTATATATATCTCTATGTGTATATATACGAACACACATATTCATCATATTCATATATATATATATATAAATCTCATCACTAGGGTACATTTTTATTTTCAATTCTGTCATTAAATTTACTTGATTATCGAATTTGTGTATTCCAAACAACATAGAAACAGCTAGGGTTTTGTTTATTTAAATAGAACTCAAATTTGAAATCTTGGAAGTTGAATTCTACTTGTAAAGATGCATAAACGTGTTAGTTATCAAATTGAAGGGTTTTCTCATTTTCCCCATATTCTCTTCCACTCAGTAAATAACTCTAATCGTTTAGTCTAGTTCATTACTATTTCAATAGTGATTGTGTTGAGGAATCGTTCTAAAACATGGTGGGCCTCATGAATATTGCCTAAATGTTAAATTCCAATCTAGATTACCTTCGATATTGAATCTTATGGGATATTCCTAATGCTGGCTATCTTGATTTTGGTTATGACCTCAGTGTTGTGTTGAAGAAGACACGCTTTTGTTACTTGAATGATGATTCAATTAGCCTGAAGGATTTTCTCCTGCTATTCATGGTTAACTATGCAGTTAATACGCCATCATTAATTTTTAAGGATTCATGTTCATTGAGGTTTGGGTAAACCATATTACCTGTTTATCTACTCATTATTTGCCACGCTTGGCATTGTTTCAGTAGAATACAACATGTACGAGAAGTGGGAGAAACTTTTGAATGAATGTGAAAAAAAAAGATTGCCATTCCTCATATCCTCAATTTAGTTGTTGTAGAAAGATTGGATTTTTCTTGATCCTACTACTGACATATTTTCTTCACTTCTGCATATTTTGATGTGTTGTTTTTCTTTTGCAAGACTTCACTTCCCCTTCTTGTTTCTTCTAGTTTGTAGGAGTGCGAATACATATTAATAGAATCATCTATGATCTTATATACCAAATAACTCTGTAGGATATATATATTTTTTGTTGATAAGTAAACTCTTGCAAGTTCAAATATTGATTGATGATTAGTTGGATGATTTATTAATGCAGAACAAAAAGATGCTCAAATCTACTCAGCGTTTGGTTGCATTTTCTATTCTCCATCAGACTTATTCTTCTCAACAGCCTTCTTCAAATCCATTCATATCTGTCCTAATAAATGTAAGTGAAGCTTGGTGTTCTTGTTACATTTGATATTTTGGAAGCAATCATGATCTTGTTGAGTTACTTCTTGTGCTTGTTTATTTATTAATTCATATATCTTTTACTCATAAAAAAATAATATATATATATAAATGTTTATATAGGCTTATATGGTCTTTTCGGTGATAAATTCTATATTTTATCTACTTATCACAAAAAAATAAAATAATAATGATAATAATAAAAAAATAAAATTCTATATTCTCGCTGGAATTGCTAAGCAACAAAGAGTTTGAATTCAAACAAAGAGTTTGAATTTCTGATAAATATCAATAGAAAGCGTTCAAAAGGGGAATGCGTCACGCAAAAGCTACAAGGACCAAATAGGGCCCCTAAACTCTCAATATGTCCAAAAATCAACCATCTCCCCCATGGATTTATAGTTTCTCCCAAAGACCCAACAAAAGCACAACCCAACTGTCTCGGACCACTGGGCAGTGCAAGAGAAGATGATGTACTGAGTCTTCACAATTACCTGTCTCATCCCAATTACATCAAATTATTTCGTACTTGATAAGTGAAATAGATAAGTGAATGACTAGAATGCCCTTTCTTTGAAGCTTTTTAATGTGTTTAGGGGTGGTCCATATCTGAACTAATTAGAGAGAAAGGTTTATCATCATTTTATAAGTTAAGATTCTTTTCTTTGAGATAAGCCCTTTTCGCAACTAAAATTGAGATAAACATTTACATGAGAGGACATCTTCTTTGATGGAGAAGCTGGGGGAGGATTAATGGGTAGGAGGAGTGGGGGATTGGAAAGGTCTTTGAGGTAACAACGCCTGTTTCATGAAATAGGGAGAGTTTGCCATGATTGGCAGGGCATAACAAGGGTTGGTTATGTATCTAAAAGAAATCATTCAGACGTCATAATGTTCCCGTTTACGGATCATTATAGCAATCTATTGGATTTGGTCAGGGACATATGAACCAAATACAAGACATTTAAATCTTTGAATAATAGTCTTGACAGTGATTCGATAATGGGTTTTATTGCCTACCTGGATTGTCATGTATAAAATAGTTAAAACGCTAACTATGTTTTATGGTTTAGAGTGTTGGGCTTTTAAAAAGAAATAGGAACAACGAATTCATGTAGCGGAAATGAGGATGTTAATGTTGATGATAGAGGTGAGGAACTAATCAAAATGTGAGGGAGAAATTAGGATTAACACATTAAACTTAGGTGGTATGAACATATACAAAGAATATGCGAAGAAGATTTATAGATGCTTGGTAAAAAGAGAGACTAATTTGCGTAAAGGTAGGAGACAAAAGGGCAACCAAAACTAACATTGGATGAAATCATTAGAAATGACTTGAAAAAGTTAAATACTATAGATAAGGCTTGTAATAGAAAGAATGGAAGAAGAGAATTCATGTGCCCGACCCCATTTATATGGGATTAAGGGAGGAGGATGATGATGACTATCATCAATTCTGTGACTGAAAATATCTCCAACCACAGAAGGACGCAATTGTAGATGAAGGGCATACTTGTTTTTTGATTATAATAATTTAAGGGAGAGTGTCTCTGGCCTATCTAGGAGCACCAGTATAGCTATCCTAGTATACTTATGTTGGTACATATTCTTAAACATAGAAGAGGAAACAATAAAGAGAAACTAACAAATAAAATCCTTTAAAGACAGAATCTCACTCAGTCTCACTGAGTTGTAATTTTTTGAAACTCGTACTGTGCATCAAACTGTAAAAAGTGAATGCTTGGTTCAGCGGTTCAACCAGCCAGTTAGTGTAGTGACTCTTTCATCCCAACCTCGAGTGTTCTGAAAATATAAGTTGGAAAATTGACCTGACTTTAGGTTGTAAATACTTTAGATCTATGCATGACACATAATTAAACAATCATTGATCCATGTGTACATCAAAATCATGACAGGTTCACATCATAATAACAGTATATTATGTTTTCTTATTACCATTGAAGTGGTAGGTTTGGAATTTGAGTATTTTTTTTTCTTTTTCTCCTGGTTAAGTGGAAATTTTATTGGAATATGAGCAAGATAGTACAGAAAAGGGTCAAGGGCGAACGCTTGTTAACAACCAACAAAAGAAGTCCCAAATTGTGAGAACAAAGAGAACAAGACATAAGAAAAAGAAGAATCGCAGTTACGAAAGAGGAACTGCAGAAAACAAAAGCAAGGCAATAACTAAACAACTCAGAAACAACTCCAAGGACTGATCAACAACAGAGTGTCAATCAAACAGCAGCTGCGTAGAGAAAAGACTGCCAACAGAAAACACAAGCAAACACTATATAACATGGATCTCCATAGAAACTGCAGAAAAACCTGGTGAAGTGAAAACTAGAAGCAAACACTGTAATGAATAATTACAGTTGTTGGGCTTTGAGGTCTCCAAAGAGCAACTATTTTTGTGTATGCCCTGTTTAAAGTTCTCAATATTTGGTGGGTACACAAACCTAGGAATAGAATCAATAGATCAAATGGTCAATAGTTGGTGGTTGGTCCAAATGAACTTTGAAAATTAGGTGTGTATTTTTATATTTATTTTTTTGGGAAGACAGTTTTGGGGGATTATGTCTACCTGATAAGAACCAGGTTTACGGTTTGCCCAATTTGACCACTCAGCACTTTCCTTCCACAGCCTTATGCCATGCATAGATTGGAAAGCATCTGAGGCAAATTGTGTTGGAACCATAGTTATAACTACTTATAAGTGCACTGATAAGTAAACTATTGTATATTTTGTAAATTATTTTAGACGTAGTATAATGATATTGGAGGTGCTACTCAGGAAATGATTTTGATAGGAAAAAAAAGTAGCTCTGTTTCAGTGATGGGCATGGCATTGCACCATGTAATGAATTAAGATTCAAGGGCCTATGAGTTTGTAATGTATGTTTTTCCACCAGATAACATATTATTTTTGTTGGAAACTTGCACTGGACACTAAAACACTCTAAAATTCATGGGAAATGACCAGGAAATTCAAGCATTCTAGTTGTTCCAAACTCGGTTCTTTCTTCTGTTAAACAATATGAAGTTAGCGGGTGGAACAACCGAAATAACGAAATGTATATGAGAGTCTTTCCTATGTTATGGGGTCTAATCCAGTTCTGATGGTTCTGTCAACTTGTCAGTTCATTGGGCCCTTATATGTGACAATGCTGCCTTTTAGATGGATTACAACTTCATGGGATATCTATTCCCAAATTAGTCTATTTATAGATTATAGAATAGTGAGATTCCTCTTCGATTTCAAGGATCTTGTGCGAATACTTGGTTTTGGCCAATGCCATGCCCTTTACTGCCTTTTGAAGGGCAGAGCGTACCACCCTAATGAGAATCACAAATACCAGACTTTCACTATAAGATAGACTTGCAGCAGCATATACCTTCTTGTTGCGCAAGTCATAAATTGTTATGTAAAATTAGGTTAATAGCACGATCAGTAGTTGACCTTGTGGCTTATTGTAACGGGTCGGCGCTTGCCCATTTACCCAAAAGCTCGAACTGTTAGGTAAGGCTGCATACCCACCCATTTATACCCAATCTCTTTCCCATCCGATTCCGATGTGGGACAAAATGACCCTTGTTACATTCTCCCCCACCCAAACTCGCAACGCCCTCGTTGCGGTTGGGCCACCCTGCCTACCTGGGATGACTCACTCGGACGCCTTCCGGGCCGGGCGCTTGGCGTGGCACCGGATCAAGGATTGGGTCTGGCTCTGATACCAACTGTAACGGGTCGACGCTTGCCCATTTACCCAAAAGCTCGAACTGTTAGGTAAGGCTGAATACCCACCCATTTATACCCAATCTCTTTCCCATCCGATTCCGATGTGGGACAAAATGACCCTTGTTACACTTATACTAAAGCTTAAAAAATGAAAATATGTTCACCTAGGTGACTAGGTGATTCGACACTTTTTGGGGTTATGCACATTTGGATGCCTGCATTCTAGCTCAATAATGAAGTTACTTGCATGGGGATCAAGTGAATGTTTGGAATGTTTGTCCGGAACATAAAGCAGAATTTTAAATAATTTTATTTTATTTTATTTTTTTCTAGTTTTAGAAATTTTGTTTTCATTCCCATAGGGGACAAATGGGTGTTTGAGTTTCTTTTCAATAAATTTTTATCTATTTATTTATTATTTTAAATTTGTAAAGCTTAAAAAATACGTATATATTTTTTTCCTAGGAAAAGAGGCTCTAAAATTTTACAAATCTTAGAAATTGGCAAATTAATTTATAATTATATCAAATGAACCAATGTATGGCCCCTTCAATGTTTCATCCTTGTTTATTCCTTTCTTCTACATTACTTTCCTTTTTTTTTTTCTTTTTCAATTTCATTTTTAAAATTATGATTGAGAGATACCATTGTTTACACTGCAAGGTTAGATAGATTCCATAGAAATTGGAAAACATTTTAGAATCAGCAATGCATTAATGATGATGGGTGGTGAAATGATTATAATTTTTCTCTAGTTCTGAAGGGTGTTTCTTTCTTTCTTTCTTTCTTTCTTTTCTTTGTTTTTTATTGCTTGGGAGGTGGGAAATGGCTATTTCATTTGTTTCCAACCTTATTATTACTATTTATTTAATATAATTGTAAGTGCTTGCTGGGATTCAATGCTCTTGCCAGCTTTTTGCTGGGCCGGGGGAGGGCTCTCTGCAGCTAATTTTGTAATATGTGCAAACACTTTCCTGGCAAGCATTTCAACTTACTTGAGGTTTGATCTGCATTGTTGCTTATTGTCAAAGTATAGAACTTTCTTAGTGGCACATGCCAGTGTCTCATTAAGATGTATATTGGACTGTTTACTTTTGTCACTTTACCTTCTTCGAGGTGACTATCAATCCATTTGTTGTTAATTGATTTGTAGTTTGTCCATAACGGACTCTTACCTTCTTAAAAGAATGAGCATGGCTAAAATGTGAATTTTGAAATGGATGTGTGTAGCAAGGTAAAAAAGGATAAAATTAGAAACAAGCATATTTGTGAACCAATTGAAGCAGCACCAATTGGAGGTAAAATGAGAGTAAATTGATTAAGAAGGTTTGGACATGTGCAACAAAGACCAATAATTGCATCGGTAAGGAAGAGTGATGCAGTACTTATCAAAAAAATAAATAAAAAAAGGAAGAGTGATGCAGTCAACATGAGAGTGATGTTGGGAAGGGAAAACCCAAACTAACATGAGCTGAGGTAGCAAGGAAAAATATGGTAGCGTGTGGTTTGACTAGCTCATGGCATTAGATTGAGCGTGGTTGTGAAACAATTTCCTTGCAGTGGAGTCCAAGTAGTTGGAAAAATGCTTTGTTGAGTTGTCTCTTTGACTTTTTGTTTTTATTTATTATTATTATACATTTTTTTAATGTTTAGAGCTTCTGTAGAGGGTACATATGAGTGTCTTATTAAGATTCATATTAGAATTTTTGCATTTGCCATTTTACCTTCTTAGAAGTGACTACCAATCTATTTATCCTTTACTGATTTGTGGTTCATCCTTAACAAACTCATACCTACTTAAAGAATGAGTACGGTTAACTGTGAATTTTTGAGATGGATGTGTGGTAAGTGAAAAATATAAAGTTTGAAACAACATATTTGTGAAACAATTGATACCAATTGGATATTAATGAGAGAAAATTGATTATATTTTTTTGGACATGTGCAATGGAGACCAATAATTGCACCAGTAAGGATTAGTGATGCAGTCCACATGAAGATAATGTTAGGGAAGGGGAAGAGTAAAACTAGATGTGGTAGCATGCTGCTGTCATGACTTTAGAATGGAGCGGGGGAACATTGTTACTGTAGAAGACTCCAAATATTTGGAAAAAGGTCTTGTTGAGTTGTATTGTTTGCAATAAGCAAAATTTGGTGTAAGAATAGTCGTTTTTGCAACCCTGAATACTTTATGAACAACAATCTTACTGTCAAATTATGTACTTCTGATTTGTTTTGTCATGCATGTCAATTGTCAAATTAGTAGATATAATTATGGAGTTGATGAGGCAGTTAATTCTTTGATTAATTTGATTTTGGCACGAGGACATTCAATCAAAGTATTGGATTGTCAAAAGATGAGTCCTACAACGAGTTGCAAGTGTAAGATTAACTAACTTATTCTTTCATCAGATGTAGATTGATCTCACTCATGTGTGTGTGTATATATATATATGCTGTTTGCCCACCAGTGGAGAGTTCTTATGTAAAGGGGTTAAGTAGTTGTCACACTGAACTCCAATTCCGTGGTTAATCACTTTGAGGTTGTCATGACGAAGTCCAATTCCAGGGTTAATCACTTTGACAATTGGGTGGTATAAAGATATGGACACATTAACAATTGAAACAGAATCGAGTGTTATTGCATTCAAGAACGTTAAACAAAAATATTCTTAGAATCTGTTTGTGAGTGTGAACACATTTATTTATGATTTTTTTTTTTTTTTTTTTTAACAAGCTAGATTATTTAATCAGAAGTATCGTAATGCAGCAGGCATCATTAAGCATAAATGAGAGACACTTCTCTTATAAGCTTGTGTGGTTTATAAATAATTTAACTTTATTGTTTCTATTTGACAATTTTTCCCAATGTTTGTAATTATTTGTAATAATTGCTATATTCGTGCTTTGCATTCTGTAATAATGTTTGCAATGAGCCTTTGATGAAAATGATGTGCCATTTTCATTTGTGTGTGTGTGGATTCTTTGTGCTTCATACCTTGGGGTTTTTGCAGGCAGCATGTGACGATGAAGCTGAGAAATGTGAAAGGGCATTTATTCTTCAATTGTTAGGCTCCGCCAGCTCTAGCACTAGTAAAGAGGTTCTACTTTTGTTGTTTTGAGCATAGTTTTTTATTTTTTAGGCAAATTGCAAAACACCCCCCCACCCCCCCTCCCCCCAACACACACACAAGAAAAAAAAAAGGAAAAAAGAACTACTATATTATTACAGCTAACCCCATAAAGTATTTTTACTATTTTCTTGGTGAACAACCCCTCGAATAGAAATTATGCAAAGCATGTGATGTATAAAATACCAATCATGACCATCCTGATGCTTTCTATTGAGTATTCTACCATTGGACCAGATTTGACCTGTAGAAAACCCATTTTCCAATACAAACTGAAACAGACAACTATTTTACCCTTAAACAGAAAATTCCTATTGAAATTAAATATCCTCTTCTCCACCAATGTTCATCTCCGCCCTCGCCTGCATCGGCATTGATCATAACCCAAAGTTTTAAGAACTCTTTATCCACAGTTGTTCTCATCACTTGTAGTGGGTGTTTGAATGAATGCAATTGGGAATAATTAGTCTCTGGCCATGGTGTGTTCTTGCAAACTTAATTTTTTAAACTTGATTATATAGTCTGCCATTGTTTTTACAATCACAAATTTGCAACAGTTTGTTCCATCAGATAATGTCACTACAACAGCAGCACATTTTACCACCACAACCTTTTTGTAACTGTGGTCATGTGAAGCACGTCCATTGAGATGTCCTCTGTCTACAATATTGCAATCTCCAGTTAATCTATTAAATCCAGAATCTGTTTCAAGTGGGCAGTGCCTTAAAAATGTGTTCAATATGTAAATAAGGTATGTCCTGTTTGATCATCTCCGTGGCAATCTACAAGAACCTGCACTATTTCTCTATTTTCAACCACAATAACTATGGCTAATGTCTCAGGGTCAACCTTCTTTCAAGGGAGTAAAAGCCAACCACCTCCATTTTTGAAGAGAAAAAATTTAAATTCTTCATTAAGAAGAGAGAGTGAGAGAGCTGCAGGCCACAATATGTTTTCACACCCGAAGCCTGCCAGTCTCTGGTAATCCTCCACTGCCACTATAATCACGATTTCATGCCTCTATTCCTCTTTACACAAAATCAGTAAAGTTGCCACTGCTTACCACAACTCACCCTCAAAGCGATCTTCTTCCCATACCTCTCCTTCGCATTGTCTCCCATGGCTTTGCTTTTCTCCCAGCCATGGTGGCAGTCCATGGCTTTTCATCTTCTTTCCTTTAGAAAAAGATATAACACACACACACACACACACACACACATATGTATAGGTCTAATAGTACTTTTTCTATTTTAAGGAAATGAACATGAAGAAACTAAGAAATAAAATGGTTGAGTTAATAAGTTGGAGGTCTCGGGCGGGGATTCTTTTCTTTTTCATTAGAAAAAAATACACAAATGGCATAATTTTATTGGATAAGACGATTCTAAAAATATTAACAAAGCTACGTGGTTTAGTTGATGGGTATTTTGGTAATTTTTTGGATCTCTACTAACAGCAACATAGTGGCTTGTCCTGATTTGCAAGATTTTGATATTTCGGGGGGTATCTCACAATGAAAGGGCTATTTGCAAAATGATGATAGCTTAGGTGTTCTTTTTGCAATTTATCCATTTTTTTATTGATGTGGAATAATTTTGTTGAAAAAAAAATTATTCCATGTCAATAATAAAAAAAAAGTAATACAAGAAAAAAGTTTTAAAGCATGGGGTGCATGTTGTTTGCTGATGATATAGTTATTGGGTACTTCTGAAGGAAACTTAGAAACAAAACTAGAAATATGAGGAAATGGCTTAAAAAAATGATTGAAATTTGGTAGAACTAAGTATATGAAATGTTAATTAATAAAAAATTCAAATATTCATAATATAATGATCACACTTCAAAACCAAGGAATCATTCAAAACGACCACTTTCGATATTTAGGATCGATAAAACAAAAGGATGGAAAGTTATATGGTGATATAACTAGTAGAATTGGATCATGATGGACAAAATAGAGATAGGCTAGTGCCTAGTGGCATTGTATTTGAGAAAAGAATAACAAATAGGTTAAAAGGAAAAACTATAGAATAGTCATTAGGCTAACTATTCTTTGTGGATCCGAGTGCTGCGCTTTAAAAAAGAAGCATTCGTGTAGCAGAATTAAGAATGTGAAGGTCCTTAAGGACCTAAAGGTAGATGGTTGGAGTGACTAGAAGAGATAGGGTTACTAATGAAAGTGCGAAAAATTATGAGTGACACGTATTAGTGAGAAAATAATTGAGAGTAGACTGATGGTATGGACACATACAACGAAGTCCTATAGATGCACCACCAGTAAGAGGAGAGTCCCCAGATAAGGTAAGAGACAAAGAGGCTGCTGAAGTTATTGGAGATAATTTTAAACGTTCGAAGTATAATATGGCGTATGATAGAAAATAGATGGAAAAAAAAAAAATTCATGTGGCCGACCCCATTCATATGGGATTAAGGCAAGGACGATGGAATGATTTTGTTTATTCAGAAAGTCCATGGTTGCTTTTGGTAAGTTCAACAAAGTTAACGGCAACAGTTTGTCATGTAAATATACACATTGTGAATCTACCGTCATCGAGCACTTCACTTAACTCACTCAATTATGAGTGTGGTCTTCATCCTATCAGTACTTGAGGCTTTTTGGGGATAACTTCAGCGGCTTGTTATGGATCTGTCAGGGAAAAGAAATGTCATGGTCTATGTGTTAGGGAATGTTGAACCATGTTAAATAGATCCGGATTTGCATTGCTAATATTGTCTAATCTTTCAATTAAAGAACTCGTATTAATTTGTTTTAGTTTTTTTATATTATTTTAGGTGTGTCTTATATAGCATGTCAGGTGTGGGTATTTCACTCATATCTATGTAACAAGTAATGGATTAATGAAGTTTGAGTCTGTTTGATGGGGAGGAAGAAGGACGCCCTGACTGGGGAGAGGAGGGAGGGGGGAGGAAAGGGTGGGGGACAAAGCATTTCCTTCGTTTGGTAGGGGTTAGAAGAATGGAAAAGAAGGGAGGGAAACTCCTTCCCCCATGAGTAGAAAGAAAGGAGGAGGAAATGGCTTCCCCTCTTCAAACATTTTTGTCCATCACTTTTTTTTTGATAAATAAAAGCATATTAGAGAGCATTCAAAAGGGGAACGCATCCCGAAAGCTATACAAGGGCCGAAGCCCAAAATCTTCCTAGGGATCCAAAGAACCCAAAAAATCCACATTTTCATCTAAAGATGTACAATTTCTCCCCATCACCCAACTAAAAAGAGAACTAATAATAGAAAATTTCAGCGCCCCATGGAAAGATTCCTCCCCATCAAAAGATTTTCTATTTTGCTCCTTCCAAATACACCACCAAAAACAAAGGGGGGTCGGCCTCCAAAAATCACGGGCGTGGCCCCCCACATTGTAGCCTCTCCAAACGTCAATCAAATCCCTCGAAGACCGAGGCATAACCCGATTGACACCAAACAAACCAAAAACAAGACTCCAGCAGTCATGAGCCACGGGGCAATGCAAAAGAGGTGATTCACGAACTCTCCATCATTTTTACACAGACAACACCGGTTGATTGTGATTTGTCTTCTCTTTCTCAGATTGTCCAAGGTTAGAATCTTTCCCTAAACTGCAGTCCAAACAAAAAAAGCTACTCTGAGAGGAGCCTTCAAGCGCCAAACCGTCTTCACAAAAAATTTGGAACCATGAAACCCGGAAAGGTAGCGGAACAAGGAACGGACCTCAAACCTCCCTCGAGGGGAAGGCACCCAAACCAAGGAATCATAGCCTTTACCATCCACCTCCTGTCGACAAAAGATCTAGCAGGCCAGAAATTTCGTCCAATTCCTGATAGGAACGCCGAAATCGCAGGTCCCATGTAAGCCTACTGCTATCAAGCCTATAATAGTCTGCTACCATAATTTATCTATCAACAGCTATCCTGAAAATGTTTGGGAACAAACAAGACAATGGGCGAACACCGCACCAAGTATCCTCCCAGAACCGAACATCCCTGCCCTCCTGAGCTCTGAATGTAATGTGCTTGGAGAACTCGTCCCAACCCTTTTCAATATATTTCCACACCCCCATGCCACCAGCAGATCTGAGCGGCCCAGAGGACCATCCCTCTCTTTCCTCCCCAAAGTGGCACGAAATAACCCTCCACCATAAACGATGCCTTTCACTACCGAATCTCCACAACCACTTACTGAGGAGCGCCCTGTTGAAGTTTTTGTCCTTAACAAAAAGTCTTCTAGAAATGTCAGAAGGTATAATGGTAAAACCACATAATACTCCACCCTTCATTGTTGCTCTCCTTCTTCCTATTCAATCAAACAAGATGAAGAAATGGCTTGCTCTGTTCTCATTTTTGTCCTTCCAAAAAATGGCCTTCTTGAACATTGAAAGGTATAATTGTAAATCACAATACTCCTCATTGCTCCTCACCTTCGGAGTCAACCAAACAACACGATGAGATGGGCCAGCCCTGGCCTCGGGGATATCTCTTTGTTCCCTTTCCATCCCTGATACCAAAATTTTCCATTGGATAAAACTGTTGATGCATGGAATAATCACTCTTCCTTATTTGGTCACATTAGTTGGGTATGCATCCGGCTATTGGCATGTCAGTCATGTCTAATAATTACTCATTGGATGTGAGACGGGTAAGGGATACATGTGCAAGAATAAAGAATAGTTTTCAAATATAAAATCATAGAAGCCTGGAATTTATTCGTCTAAAACTTTCATCTGGTTGCATTTAATTTTTACCTGTCAATATTCACATTTTTTTTGGGGTTTCTGATGTTGATAAGGGATTATGAAGTGACAATATTCGATTTAACTATGGTAAATGGTCATCTTGTTTCTATGTCAAGCCCCTCTATTTTTATTTTTTACTAGACAAAACCCACCCCCCACAACCCCCCCCCCCCCACCCACCCACCCACCCCAAGGCAAACACACACAAAAAAGAAAATTGTTTTCATGGATTTATTAAGTGGCTTATTTCTTGTAGGTCCTCAAACAATCTGCTGCAGATTACATCAAAAGTTTTGATGTTTCGTCACATGTGAGTTTTATACATTATTGTGCATATTCATAATTGCATGTCATTATTATGTTTTCAATATCTATGATGCTAAAGGGCACTGTCACTGACAATATTTTGGAATGTCATCAGTTGCTGATACTTATCTTAGTGTGTACTTGGTTGATGGATATGTTTTACTGTCAGGCTTTCCCACACCATGAACAATTGCAGCAACAGTATAGTGATAAAGTTCATCCAGAACCATTTAATTGCTTATTCAAGAACGCACGTGTGAAAAATGTGGTACCTGATCCTGATGTACCCTGTGGTTCTGATGAAAATTCACCTGAGTATGACCCTTGCCCTTGAAGTAACTAGGCTTTTGCTATATTTGTTTTTTACTTGAAAGCTCTCAGTTGAAAACTAAATCTGTTAAATCATTTCTTATTTTCATTTTATTTTCACCTCGTCTCTATTGTTTCATGGATATAACTTTGTGGTAAAATTTCAGGTTTGACATGCAGCCTGGAATTAAACCTAAAATTGGATCCGGTGACAGAGATGAGACAATATCTGGGTTGTTACAAAATTTGTCGCTGGAAGGATTAGGTCCTCGGTGGATTAGGCCTCTTCCACCAAGGCTTCCAATACAAGATGGAGAAGTAAGACAAATTAAGTATCAATATTCAAGCAAATTGTGGATCTTAATTCTATTATAAGACTTAACCTTGTTAGGTTTCTTGCAGTTAGTGTGGCTCAACCCTGAAAACTATCATGAGCTTTTATGGGATTACGGAATGTGTGCTGATACTAGCAAAGGGGCCGCAGTTAGGGATCTAATTGCAAAAGCTCTGAAGGGGCCACTTGCACCTGCTCAACAGGAGGTGCTTATTCTCTCTCTCTCTCTCTCTCTCTCAAATTCTATTGTATCATGCATGACATGTCAGTGTAAATATTGAATAGGAATTGAACCTGTTACTTCCTTGTAAATGAGTCCTAATTATGTGTTGAAATGCAGACCTAAACTGAAGTATGAGAACCAACTTTAACAGTGAGTTTTTTTTTTTTGTCCTCTATGAGTTGAAGTGTAGAACTAAATTCAAGTATGTGAATCAACTTGCACAATTAGCCCATATTTCTTGGTCCTCAGTGCATGGATGCTTCTGTGCAGGATTTTATATCTCCTCATATTAGTTAGGAAATGCCTTACCTTATTCCTCACTCTTTATAAATGGGGAGTTTCTTGTGAAATTTGTGCATACAGTACTTTTAAAAAGTTACAGTTACTAGAAAGTAGAAACTGGTACCAATTGCTATAAAAAATATGGTGTGGGATTTTAGATTTATGTCTATTCAAAATTTTAAAAGAATAGACTTATTAAAAATAATTTTATAAGAAAAGATTCAATGTTTGGAGCTATGCAAAGGGAGTCTGTATCTTTTGTAGAGAGAAATGTACTTTTCTTATCACGTGTGTGTGGGTTAGGATTGCAATGTATAACTATCCTGGGTCATTGGGGGAAAAAAGTAAATTTTTTTTCTTGAATGATAACGAGCCTGAATATGATAGGAAACAGTTAGTAGCTTGAATACCATTAAATATCCTTTCATTTGATCATTTATTTAGATTTTAGCGATTACCAGCAATTGATAGAGTGACGGTTCATGGTTTCACAAACTTTGTTGTTTGAATTATGTCACAGCGTTCAAGGATAACAATATTGTTCCGAAATGTTCCCTGAAAGACTGAAGTCACTGAACTTTATCTGGATGCTTGTAAACTTAATTTTTGATATACCATTGAAATGTTGATAATTTTGTTGTCATTCTATTCTCCAGCAAGTCATGGTAGAGTTAAGAAATGACCCAAAGCTTGTATATCACTGTGGATTGACACCAAGAAAGCTACCGGTATGTAATTCTATAAATTTGTAGTGCATTCTTATTAATGACCGGTGCTGCCTTGATCTTTAAAGGCCTTATATTTGTATCAGGAACTGGTGGAGAACAATCCCCTTATTGCAGTTGAAGTTCTCATCAAATTGATGAATTCGCCTGAAATTGCAGAGTATATTCTTAGTGCATATATTCCTACTGATGCTTTTCCCAAATGAAGTGAAACACACCCTGGAAATTTGATTTTCTTTCTCTTTTGTGTTTCTTTTGTTTAACAGATACTTTACCGTTCTTGTCAATATGGACATGAGTCTACATTCAATGGAAGTTGTGAACAGACTTACTACGGCAGTTGAGCTTCCCACTGAATTTGTACACATGTACATAACTAATTGTATATCCTCTTGTGAGAACATCAAGGTCTGTCCCATTGTTTTGCTTTCTGGTGTTTCTTTCTATTGGTTTCGTGCTTTGGTATTTACATTGTTCTCTGTTGCTTAGAATTAGCATAATCTAATTCAACCAGCCTGGGTTTTACTCTGGTTGGGATCGTGATCTTTATAAATTGGTGTCTCCAATTTTAATTGACTGTTTGTTCTTTTGAATTTTATTATTGGTGATGCTTGGTTTTTGTGCTCAATAAAATTTTGTATTAGGTTCTTAAATAGTAAAACTATAGTGCCTCGTGTTGTCATTTTCAATGTTCTACCATCACCAAAAGTGAGTATACCTCTTGAATATTATTCTAGGAAAGTGAAGAATGACCCATCTTTTCCAGTTATGTGTTTACAACACCTATCCAAATGCTAACCACAAGGTGCATGAATTTTTAATGTGGTATGGATGACAAGACACTTATCTACGTATTTTCTTATCCAAACAGATATATGCCTTTTACTTGTTCTTTTTCTTCTTTTTTTTTTTTTTTTTTGGGACTGAGACATGGTATGTAGACACATAATTTTTTCACTCTTATTTTTTAGAAATTTTTTTTATCTCAGTTCCAAGTGCTGCATCGCATCGGCCAAAGTTGTAGGAATTTTCTGAACTTTTTTGCCTTGCCTAAGTCTTAACGGGCCGGGTGCTTGCCCTTTGACCCAAAAGCTTAAGTTGTTAGGTAGTTCTGCACTGTGTTACCTGACTCGCCGGTGACGACAAGGGTACACGCGATCTGTATTGGATCCTTCAATTTGCAGTCAGACACGGCTGCTGTGGTCTCTTGGCTGGTTCGAAAAGAAAATATGAAAAGGTTGTAAAGTTTGGTTCAATTTTAGGATTTCCTCGTTGAAGAAAGGTTGAAGAAGATGATTGGTATTGCACGTGTGATTATCGTCTTGTTATTTGTGCCTGCCTTGCGTGTGTTTTACGCGTCTGATATATTACTATATATACATACATATATATGGCAAGTTAGCAATGCGTATTTCAACACCTCCATGCGTAATTGAATTTTGTAGGTAGGAAATCCATGGTGGACAGAAAGCCACCTGTCATATAGAATCTCAAAAAAATCTGATTATTATTTTTTTTAATAAATTGTCAAATTGACCCTTTATCTTTTAGAGCATTCTAAAAGCATCAATTTATATACAAGTATGTATATATATATATATATATATATATAAACAAGCCTGAAATCCCCCCCCCCCAAAAATAAAAAAAAAACTCTTTCATAGATTGTCAAATCTGATTAAGGGAGGCAGAGGGTAAAGTTGGCAATTTTTTCAAAAGAAAACTCTTTCATAGATGGAGAAGGAAACGTTTTGGATACCAATTCCCCATAAAATATAATACTATATATATATTGGTAATAGAGCTAAATTACCTAATGCAATGAGGAATGCGGCTAATGCCTATTGCTTACTGTCCTAGTGTGCTAATTTACAGCTGTAGTACAAATAAAAGGAGTGTGGTCATGTAAAAGTTAACTCAATTACTTTTTCTTTATTTTTATTATTTTTAAGAGAATACATGACAAATGAGAAGTCCTCTCTAACTCCTCTTTATTTAAAATTGTTTATTACTATGAAGTACTTAAAATAATTTAAGTAACTGGCTAATACTTTAAAGACTTATTGTTAGTTAAAGCTATTCTTTAACAAACTTTTGCTAAGAAGGACAAAAACCTTTAATAATAATCATGTATATTGTTGAATATTCTTTGTCCATGGAAGTGTCCCAGTGTCCGTGTTTGGACACTTATTAGATCCGACCTCTAGACACATACCCGTGTCCGACACCCGGTCCGAGTCCGGGTAACATAGGTTTTGCATACCCACCCATATAAGTCCATGACCTTCCCCATCCAGATCCGATGTGGGACAAGAACCTCTAACATTAAATATGGCCTTTTTCTCCATAATAGAACAAATTATGATGTGCCTAGGAGGTTGTGTGACAACAAGAAGAGACATGTTAGATTTAGCAAATTCAAATCTAGAAGATGACGATGGCATCAACAGACTTCCACTGAAACTTGAGACATGTTTTACCACCAAAAGATTATGACACAGCAGACAAACCTATCCAACTTGTTAGGTTATTAAAGCTTAGTGTTGAAAAAATTTGTAACAAAAGTTGGAGTCTCTGATTAAGTTGGAGTTGTAATTTACCACGGATCCATGGACTCTGAAGATATGGTATTTGAAGATAAAAAAGGTTGAGAAGTCTTGGACTGTAACTCGAGACTCTGATGTAGAGTTAGCACAAGGCCTAAAGTAGATTTAGAGGGGGATTGAATAGATTTTGTTTAGTTTAAACTAGAAATATATGATTTTTTTTTTTTTTTGTTTTTTACTTAGTTGGTACTCACACACACCCATGCCCTCCACTGAGGCTCAAACCTCTGACCTCCCTTTGGGAGGTAGGGGCTTGGTATCGCCAAGCCACTGGCTTGTTGGTAAAAAAAATATATGAATTTTAAATTGTTAAAATTATATTAGAAATCAATTAATTATGGAGAGTAAAAAGAAATAAACCAAACAGTCACACATGAACACATGAGTTTTACGAAAAATCCAATTGGAAAAAAAAAAAAAAAACACGGAACCTAATCGAAATAGAATAAATTCACTATTGGAAAGAGCTTACACTAGCTTAACCAAGTTATCTCTTGACACAAACTGATCCATTTAACTCATTTTCAGAGTCTCCATACACACTTTATTCTCTCAATAGATTGCGATCTGCTTCTCCACAAGAACTTTGATATCCTTTGCTAGTGGAAAGAGAATCAAAACACGGAACCTAATCCAAATAGAATAAATTCACTATTGGAAAGAGATTTACACTAGCTTAACCAAGTTATCTCTTGACACAAACTGATCCATTTAACTCATATTCAGAGTCTCCATACACACTTAATTCTCTCAATAGATTGTGATCCGCTTCTCCACAAGAACTTTGATATCCTCTGCTAGTGGTCTAGGTTTCTTGTTCATTGTGTAGAAACACTCGAGTGTTGTATTCTTTGTATGGCACATTAATAGTTGATGATCAACACCTCAACAACATACCATACTAGCAATTGTTACAAAGGTATGATTCTCGACATATGCTCTCAATGGTTGTGTAGGCCTACATAAGTTTGTTCGAAGCATAGTGTCTTGTCTATAGACCTCAAAGGGTGGAAGAGTTTAGGGTTAGAGAGTTCAAATCTGATTTGGAAACTGCTTTTCCACAACTCTCAATCAATCAATCCAAGTGTCGATGGATCAACACCGGACAAGTGATTCTTGATTAAAGAATGCTTTGGCCTTTTAACTATTTGAAGTGGGTTGATGTCAAAGTATGGATTCCAACTGAAGTAGCCAGATTACCTCTTGCAATAATATTTGGCCTTTCCATACTTTGTTTTATTCAATATGACCATTCTAGGTACTTAGAGAAATTTCGAAAGACATGACCTGTGAATCATTCAATGGAAAGTAAACATCTTCCACAGTACCTTATTCAACCGTCTAACCTCCACTTCCATCTAGGTTGGAAAGTTCACACCGGCTGTTTATTCGGCCGATTCGATTGATTGAACACCCTATCCTAATTGGAATAGGATTTGACTTTTCAAAACAATTTTAAGCATTCCAAACATGTTTTTATGGATCAAAACATGAAATTTAAAACTCTAGAATGCTTAATAAAATAGGTGGATGCAGGGTGAGTGCACAATTTTGAGAGTCGAATTTACCTTTCTGCTCTTGGATAGGTAATTCAGTCAACTTACCTAACTTAAAAACATAAACAAAAGTAAATCAAAATTACAGACTACTTGTACAAAATTCGCCAAAAATTATTTTGTGACAGTAATGTTACGACAAACGTCGCGAACCAAGAACAAATCAAGCAGAAAAGTAAACACGCCACACACAAAGAACACAAAGATTTACGTGGTTTGGCATGAAAGATTTCACTATGCGAAAATCAGGAGATTACAAGTTTCAGCCCCCAAAACCCTAGCTCTCTCTCTCTCTCTCCTGCGGTTTTTAGTGTTCTCCCTTTTCCCACTCGAAACGCTAATTGCCCTTAATATACTGGGCTACAAAAGTCCTAAACATGGTCCCAAGACCCGCAAGAGAAAAACTGGACAAATTTTTATTTTTTTATTTTATTTATTTTATTTTTTTTTTCCGCGGGCAACGGCTTTGGTGGCCAAAACCCACACAAAGTCCATTTTTCAGGCTGAAACAAAATTCGGGCCACAACTTCACAAGTTACAGAACGAACTTACAAAGGAATTGTTGTTCAACCTGCACAAAACTTATTTTATAACAAAATTGGCCAACAGCAAACAATTGATTTAACAAACACGGTCTCTCTTTGCACTGTGGAAGCTTTGTGCCAACTTTCGTGGTGGGAATTTGGTGATGCTTTTGTATAAGGTGGTCTAGTTGCTCTCTTGCTATTATGATGTTAGATTTAAATCCTTTGGTGATCCTTCCCAAAATGCATACATTCACAAACATGCAGATACACACATTTAATATTGCTATGGCACTTCTATGCATATTGGCCTACTTAATTCTTGGTGTCTAGTACGTGTACTTCTTTCGGGTCTAATATAATCACTTTTTGGACTTTCATGCTTGTCTAATATATAACTTCAAAGAGTTTTTGTTGAATAGCATGTGTGCACGAAAGGTTTGCATGGAATGCTTTTTTTATTGTGTAAAATGGGGAAAACATATATGCTTCTATGAACGACTACTTTTGGTGGACACTTGTTTGAAAGATGGTTATGTAATTGTTGACTGTGAGGGCAAACATAGGTTCATTTGAGGTTGTAAACTTCCATGCTTATTTCCATTTCTCTTTCTTTCTCTTGATACAAGGAATGAGGGATGTTATCAGTTTCACATTCCAATTTGCTCATTTTAGCAAAATAAGGCTCAGATCTATCTTCTATTTTTTCCTAATTTGCAGGACAAGTACATGCAGAACAGACTTGTGAGACTTGTATGTGTTTTTTTGCAGAGTCTAATCCGGAACAAAATAATTAATGGTGAGCAACCTTTTTACCTCAAATTAGAATTCCTGCTTTCTGAATTCTTAGAATATAACTAGTAGATAATTGCACATGCAGAAACCCTTCTAACTGAGCATTCTGTCACTTTCGTATGTGTGTGTCATGACTAAAATATATACTTTTGATGGCCATTGTGCCCTTGACCCATTTGTGCTGACCCAACTTTAGAGAACACAATCCATTACTCATATTTTGGATCAAAATTGAAAAAAAATCAAATTTCCCCTTAATAATGAAATTAAATGCTCCTGTCATCAATGCTTTACTTTTCCCTTTGTTGTCTCTATCGATGTTACATATTGTGGTGCCACCACACACACTCTCATCTTTGCTTTAACATTGTTAATGGCGTTGGAGCTTTCAATCTCGAGGGAATCGCTAAACCAGGGAGTCATAAATAATATCTGCATTCCTCCTCTTTGGAGCACCAAGTAGAGTGTAGTATTATAATTTTCTATGATTATCTTCAAATTGCTCTTTGATATGACAACTTTTGTTGGTATTGAGTAATTCATATTGAGTTCCCCTTTTGAACGCTTTCTAATACATTTTTACTTATCAAAAAAAAAAAAAAATTAGCTTTAATGTTGCCAATGGTGTGGGCTTGTTTGACCTCAAAAGCGATGGTATTGCGTTTTTCATTTAAGTAGCGAGACATGGGACACGGACACAATACAACGTAGATTCACCACCATGTCAAATTATAATTAAAGTAGGACAAGGCGTGTACATGGAGATATATTAACATAAACTTGTATTTATATGTAATCTATTGAAATAAACAGTTATAATACTGCAACTAAGTTTAATTTCCTCAAAAAAACTGTGACTCCCCTTGTCTTTGTCGGACAGACAATGTTTTTTTATTTATTTTTATTATATAATTACAGACATGTTATTAAATTATATATTTGATTGACATTTTTATACTCCAATTATTTTATAGTTTTTGGGTGAATTTTTCTCGTGCACGAGGTTTCTGCCATTGTGGTTCTAAGGAGGGTTAGATGTTCTTTGTTTCAAACCCGTGGTCACAATGGAACAACCTTACCGTATAAATTAAGTACATGCATGATGGTTGTGTGACTATAGTTAGAACCACTATGGGAAAAACAAGTGAATTTCCAATTATTGTATGCTTACATTAAGGTTCAGCATTAAGCCTATACTTTTGCCTTAGTTATGGATGAGTTGACAAGACACATTCAAGTTGAGATCCTGTGGTGTATGTTATTTCATGATGATATTGTTCTAATCGGTGAGACTGGAGAAGTAGTCAATGCCAAGTTGGAGGTTTGGGGGAAAGCTCTAGAATTAAAAGGACAGAGAAATAAAACTGAATATTTTGAGTGAAACTTTAATTTTTTTTTAGAAATTCATGTGAGAATGTAGTTAAGATTGAGGATCAAGAGGTACAAAAAATTGAGTATTTTCGTTATTCAGTATTGTAGCGGAAATGATAAAGAACAGGGTTAAACCCTTGAATTGACAAAGAACACACTCACAAGAGAGAAACTGAAATTATATTGATAATAATGATGTCTGCAGACTCGCATCTCTTGCCTTTATATAGGCAAGTCAAAAATAAAATTAAAAAGAAAGCATGTGTGAAATAATATAAAAGAAATTGCATGAAATAATATTAAAGGGGAAATCTGAGATTTGATGGAGTAGAATCCTCCTTAAATCTTGCAATGGAGAATAATATCTTCTATTGTTGGCAACTATACCAAATCTTGGTTAAACCATTGAATTCACAAATAACACACTCACGAGAGAAACTGAAATTATATTGATAATAATGATGTCTGCAGACTTGCATCTCTTGCCTTTATATAGGCAAGTCAAAAATAAAATTGAAAAGAAAGCATGCGTGAAATAATATTAAAGGGGAAATATGAGATTTGATGGAGCAGAATCCTCCTTAAATCTTGCAATTGAGAATAATATCTTCTATTGTTGGCAACTATACCAAATCTCCTTTTGACTTTTCCTTATTTATTTATTTTTTTCTTCTATTCTCCTTAACCTTTTCGGCCTTCCTAATTTGCGATGATCCTGTATGCTCAGATAATCGTGAGTGAGTTATTCTACATCAGTCTCCCTTGCGTAAAAAGAATGCGTCCCCGAGTTACCCGAATCTGGCGGATAATATTCATGTATGTCAGCCACATTGAAGGTAAATCAATCACATTGGCGTTGTCATTGATTTTACCATATTTCTTGGCCTTCAGCTTCTTGTATGTTCTCACTGGAAACCTCTCTTTTCTTAGATATGCCATAATTAGGTCCCCTTTTTCAAGTACTCTTTTCCTTCGTCTCTTGTCAGCTGCAGCCTTATATTTGGTGTAAGTTTCCTCTAGATGTTTCTCGACACTCTCCTGAGTGGTCTTAATGTCCTCAGCCATTTTCTCTGCGGCAACACTCTTCCCCGGCAACTTCGGTAAGGATACCAAATCCAAAGCAACTTTTGGAGGACAACAATACATAACCCGCAAAAAGGGATTTACCAGTGCACCTGTTAACCATGCAATTGTAAGCAAATTCTGCCTAGGCAACAGCAAGATCCCACTGTTTTGGTTTTTCTCTTGAAATACAGCGAATTAGATTTCCAAGGGTCCTAATCACTACCTCTGTTTGGCCATCAGTCTGGGGTGACCAATGATACTGAAATTAAGAGAGGTATCAAGTCTCTTCCATAAAGTTCACCAAAAGTGAGACAAAACTTGGTGTCACGATCTGAGGTAATGAACTGTGGCACCCCATATAAACGAACCACCTCCTTAAAGAACAAATTGGCCATTTGGATTGCATTGTTCGTCTTCTTGCATGCAATAAAATGGGACATCTTGGAAAATCGATCGACCACCACAAAAACAGAGTTTGCTCCTCGCTGCGTCCTCGGCAACCTTAGAACAAAATCCATTGATATATCCTCCCATGGAGCATCTGGAATAGGCAGCGGTGTGTAAAGGCCATTATTTTGAGATTGGCCTTTATTAGTTTGGCATATTGAGCACCATCGCACATGGTTCTCCACGTCATGCTTGAGATGCGGCCAATAATATCGTTCTTCTACCAGCTCTCGTGTCTTATCACGCCCTAAATGTCCGCTTAATCCTCCTCCATGCAATTCACGAACCACTTGCTCCCGCAAAGAACTCCGTGGAATACACAACTGATTGCCATTAAAGATAAATCCTTCCTGCATGTGCAACCCTTTAAAGGATTGGCTCGTCTTACTCGTTGCCCAAGCTTAGCCAAAATTTTAATCGGCCTCATATAATTCCTTCAGGCACTCGAACCCTGTGATTTCAGCCCTCATAGTCACTAAGAAAGCTGCTCTCCAACTTGGTGCATCTACAACTTTGTTCTGTTGGCTTGACTTGTGTTTTAGCGAGAAGGTGAATTGTTGGATATAAGCCGCCCATCGCGCGTGCATCCGATTAACACTATTTGGATTGTTAATGGATTTCAGTGCTTGGTAATTTGTAAGCAGCGCGAACTCTCGCTGTATAATATAATGCTCCCACGTATGCAAAGCTTGCACCACCACATAGAATTCCAACTCATAGGTAGTCCACTTCTTACGTGCTTCACTCAGCTTCTCACTGTAAACACTACTGGCCTTCCTTCTTTTGATAGAACTGCTCCGATTCCTACTATTGAGGCATCACAACCTGGAATTGCTTCTCAAAATCTGGAAGGACTAAGATTGGTGTTGTTGACAGTTTTTCCTTGATTAAGGCAAAACTCATCTCAGCTTCCTCTCCCCATTGGAATTTTCCTTTCTTCATGCATTCTGTGATGGGAGCCACAATACTACTGAAGTTCTTAATGAACCTTCAGTAGAACGTGGCTAAGCCATGGAAACTACGTACTTCTCGCACATTCTTCGGCGCAGGCCACTCCCGAATGCCATCACTACAAACTACATAGCCGAGGAATACTAGGCTTGGGCTCATAAAGCTACACTTCTTCAGATTAATGAACAGCTTATTCTTTTGCAAAGTTGTTAATACCTCTCTCAAGTGCAAAAGGTGTTATGCCTCTGTTTGACTATAAACCAAATATCATCGAAATAAACAACTACAAATCGACCAATAAATGGTTTGAGTACCTGATTCATCAACCGCATGAAAATACTTGGCACATTGGATAATTCGAATAGCATGACTAACCACTAATACAGTCCTTCCTTTGTCTTGAACGCCATTTTCCACTCATCCCCAGGGGGGATTCAGATCTGATGGTATCCTCTTGAGGTCCACTTTAGTGAAGACTTACGATCTCGCCAACATATCCAGCATATCATCCAACCATGGAATGGGAAATCTGTACTTGACAGTGATTTTGTTAATTGCGTGACTATTAATGCACATTCTCCAACTGCCATCTTTCTTCGATACTAGCAAGGCCAGAACAACAAATGGGCTCATGCTCTCCCAAATCAACCCTTTCTGTAGTAACTCGTCCACTTGCTCTTGTAAGATCTGACTCTCATTGGAACTCATCCGGTAATGTGGTAGATTTGGCTGGCTCGCCTCGAGCACCAAGTCAATGTGGTGCTGAATGTCCCTAATGGGAGTTAGACTATTAGGCAAGTTTTTCGGAACCAAATCACTAAACTCTTGCAGTAATGGCTGAACTATTGCTGGTATTGTAAAAGGAGGTTGTTCAACTACTTCCCCATTGCACATAACATCAAAGATTTCAGGGGCAATTGTTACTTCGCCCAGAATTCCTCACTGTTGATCAACATAACTGAATTTCCTTTGGGAAATTCGGCTTCTTTCAACGGACCCAAAACAATCTTATGACAATTCTTGTATTGAATATACACATTGTCTCTACCACGGTGAGTGGCATCAACATCAAATTGCCATGGTCTGCTCAATATCATATGACATGCATCCATGTCGACTACCTCACAACGCACCTCCTCTGCATATGCTTTCCCAATTGAGAATGGAACA